TGTGTGTGTGTGTGTGTTTGTGTGTGCGTGTGTTCCTGTTTGTTTGTTTGTTTGTTTTTGTGTGTGTGTGTGTGTGTGTGTTTGTGTGTGTGTGTGTGTGTGTGTGTGTGTGTGTTTGATCGCTCTCTGGACTCGCTGTAGTGTTTATGACGTGACAACGAAGGGTTTTGTTCTCTTTTTTCAAATTGTGGAAATGAGGATAAATATGTGGTCGGATCCAGCGACTGAATCATACCTGCATTTGCTTCGATTATCAGGCCACATTCATACGGACCGATGGAGAGAACTCGTACACGTTTTTAACCGTTGTTTCGGTTGAAGAATGGAATTGCATTGGAATAAGCAAAAAAAAAAAAAAAAACACGAAATAGTTGGTCTTCTCCTTGCGACGCTGGAGGGTGTGTAGTTCTTTTTCTGTTTCCTTTTCTTTTTTTTTTTCTTTTTTTTGTTAACACAGTTCCCTTTACTCCATGCAATATAAACGAGGCTTACATCCTCATCACTTGTACCCGGCGGGAAAAAAAAAGGAAAACCTCGGAGCATCATTACCCAGCTTCTCTTGATCTATGCAAACTGAAAAACGTCGATTCTTCAAAACCCATCAACTAATCTGGTTGAAGAAACTACTCGGCTTTCGACGCATTTAGTAATCGGCCTCGCTCCACTACTCTCTCCATATGCTCGATAGCATTAGGGCATCGCCACATCACTCTCGAAACGTTCAAAATGAGAATGAACGTCCCGCTAGAACATGGCCAGATGCACCCGTCACATTTTTGTCGTTTTCACATTTCGAGAGTGGTGTGGTGTGGCGAGGCCCTTAGAGCTGCGGCGGCGAACTTTGTGACGGACGCCGGGCCCGGTTCCCGCCACAGCTTTATAAAATTTGCTCAAAAAAAAAAAAAAAAAAAAAAGGAAAAAAAAAAGGAAAAAACCGGGAGCCATAAAAAAGCATGCGTTGGTCGAATCCATCATCGAAGTACAGGACTCTTGAGGCCGTGGAGGTTAATTCCTTTAAACAGCCAGCACATTGCGAGAGGCTTTGTCCTCTTTCTTGTGAAGACAGGCTGAGTGAGGGACTGTATCATATTCATGCTGACCAGCCTCGACAACAACCTATGTAGGCTACCAGAGCGGCCCGGGAAAAAAACAAAAAAAAAACAATATTTTTCAAATTTATTTCTTATTTTAAATTCGGTGAAGAATTCGATGTGGCCCTGAGGCAAAAGTTGTTCGTTTTGTGAGGTCCGGGAACTGAGTAAGGGGAGGCCGCACGTTTCGCGCTAACAGCGGCGACAGCGGCGGTGGCGGCGCCCAGTCGCCGGTGGCGGATGTGTAGGTTGTGACGTCGAGTCGTGGTGATGTTGATCTTTCACGTGGCGCCTACCCTGCCAGGCACCATAGCTGTGTGAGAGCTATGGCGACAGTGCCCTGGCGTAACCTTGCCCTTGAGTGGGGAGGGAGTGCTCTGCACTCTTCGCCATGGCATACTGGCAGTCCTGTGCTTCATACTCGAAATCTATACCAACCATTAAACCTGATAGTATCCAGATACCAGAGGAGTTGTCCTCCCCTTAAGCCTCCTGCTCGTAAGGGGGGACTCCTTTTTTAATATCCTAACGCCGGGCGTTGGACTCGCAGGACACGGTATCTCGATCGCCTCGGTCATGAAGAGAGTACGGACGGCGAGGCGGCGCATCTAGACGCAGTGGGAGAGCGGACGGTTGCGGTGGCAGCGCCTCGGATTGTCCAAGGACTAGAGCAAGGCTTGGTCGCCTTATCTACGGTGCAAGGCAGCCAGAGGTTCTTATATTTCATGCTTTGTGTTAATTTCCGTCGTAGTTTAGTTGGGTTAGAATACCTGGTTCTCTTTGGTGTAGTCTGAAGACCTATGACTGATGGATTTATCTGCTGGGATTTGACCGATAGTTATCTGGGGGATTTTCTTGGGGATTTTTGTCTTTATCTCAGTTGGAAGGTGTTTTGTGTCTGTTTTGTCACGATTTAATTTAGTTGGGTCATTCCACGTTTGTCCTAAAGCCATCCTGGGGATTTTTGTCTATATCTCAGTTGGAAGGTTTTTTTGTGTCTGTTTTGTCATGATTTAATTTAGTTGGGTCGTGTTTTGTTACCGCTGGTAGTGGTATGGTGTCTTCAGGCATGATCCAGACTCACAGAGCCTCCATACTCTTAAATGGCTGGGGTATCCTTGTAGTGGTTCAGGGTGTTAGTCACAAGGCTGGATGGTACGAGAGACCCGGTGAAGAGCAAACTAGAGTTGTATCCATTGGGTGCGTGGTGGGAAACCCGTCTAGGCAACAAAGGCTCTTTACAGCGTTATGGACAGTGTGGTAGAGAGGGYAACCSTAAKGTTWWTYCSCCCYCCAAYTCCTAGTCCTTGAAGTTCGCTTCTAGTTCGATGTCCTGCAGACTTTTGGGGGTTGGTGTGCTGCAAGGCCCTGAAGTTCCTTGGGTGGCGGCGCCAGTAGTGGGAGTGGGAGACTCATTAATGGCGGTGGGATCGTCTCCCTGGGCGCGATAGGGTAAAATAACTGCCAGCCAGAATTTCATTTAGTTGGGCTGTGTCTTGTCTATTATTCGCTTTGGCACTGTATCATTACGTAGGTTTGAGGTTGTAGATTTTCGATAGTCTTAGGTGTTGGGGCATGTTTGCACTAGCCTAGGGTAATACTCATCGGGTAGGAATGATATGAGAGACCCGGTGAAGAGCAAACTAGAGTTGTATACATTGGGTGCGTGGTGGGAAACCCGTCTAGGCAACGAAGGCTCTTTACAGTGTTGCGGACAGTGAGG